GTCTAACGAGTACTTTGGGTTTAGGATCGGGGTTTCGGGTTTAGGGTGTAGGGTTTACTAGTATTTAGGGTTTTTGTTGTTTAAGGTCTAACTAGTTCTTAGGGTTTAGGGTTTAGGGTCTAACTGGTACTTAGGGTTTGGGGTTTAGGGTCTAACTAGTACTTTGGGTTTAGGGTTTAGAGTCTAACGAGTACTTTGGGTTTAGGATCGGGGTTTCGGGTTTAGGGTCTAGGGTCTAACTAGTACTTAGGGTTTAGGGTCTGGGTCTAACTGATACTTTGGGTTTAGGGTTTAGGGTCTAACTAGTACTTAGGGTTTAGGGTTTAGGGTCTAACTAGTACTTTGGGTTTAGGGTTTAGGGTCTAATTAGTATTTAGGGTTTTACTGTTTAGGGTCTAACTAGTACTGACGGTTGAGGGTCTAACTGGTATTTAGGGTTTAGACTTTAGGGTCGAATTTGGTATTTAGGGTTAGAGTCTAAACCTAAAGGACCTAAACCCAAAGCTCCAAACCCCAAAGCCTAAAGGGTGTCAGTCTCTCGAGCTCGCAACACGTAGGATTTTGGATTTCCCTAAATCCTAACCCCTCTAAATCCCTAAACCCTAAACCCCCTAAAACCCTAAACCCCCCTAACCCGGTTTTTGGATTTGGGGTAAGGGTTCAGGGTTACCGGGATGTAGGGTCAAGTTTGGGGTTTAGGGGGCTCGGGGTTTGAAGCTTCGAGTTTGGGGTTCTGGGTTCGGGGTGTGATGTTCGCTGATTCAGAACCTCCCTTTCTATGGGGACCCTAAACCCTAAACCCTAAACCCTAAACCCTACATGGGCAGGGTTTCTTAATCACAGATCTCTAGCACCCAGCCTTTCCCTTTCATATGGGTGGTTGTCAAAATTATGGTCCCTTTTTGGGTCCTTATTATAATACGGCACCTATTATTTATGTAGGGTACCCCAAAAGGGACCATAATTTTGACAACTACCCATATAACTGAGTACAAATCTCAGGCCATTTTTTTACCGCCGCCTTTTTCGAACTACGTCTCCGGACCCACTCGTGTTGAAAAGACGGGAGTTCTAGATTCACGGACTTCGCTTTGGCTGCAGAAGCAGAAGAAGGATCTAAAATCAAAAGGGTTAGGGTAAGGGTAGTTGAAGGTATAGGTTACTTCAAACAGGGCTCCTGCGCAGTATCGAATGATAGGGACCCTATCACACATCGCAATGCCGCCGAACAGCGCCCTAAACCTTCATCTCCAAGCCCAAGAAGACCCTAAACTCTACATAAGCCCCGAACTCAACACATCTCTAAGCAGCAGGCCCTGATGGAGTTTAGGGTTTAGGGGTTTAAGGGTTTAGGGTTTAGTAAACCCTAAACCCTAGGGTTTAGGGTTTAGTAAACCCTAAACCCTAAACCCTAATTTAGGGTTTACAGTGAGACTTCTTTGATGCAAGGAAGCCGGTCATGAAGATCCACGAGATCCCCTCCGACGGAGCGCCGTGCAAGTTGACCGTAGGATGAGTCCTCGTGAGAGCTTCAGGGCTTGGGGCTTAGGGTTAAGTGTTTTTTTGTTTGTTTTTGGGTTTAGGGTTTCGGGATTTCTGGGTTTCAGGTTTCTGGAAAGTTCAGGTAATATCGGAAGATTTAGATGTTTCGGTGAACTTGTTGGGTGATGCTTCCATGGCTCGTTTGGGGTTTCAGAGGATGCTCATCCGAGCACAGACTGGAGCCTGCAACTTGCACCAACAGCAGTTGCACTCGAATGGAGTGTCCACATTTGCCGTTCTTAGGTTCCTTCCGTTTTTTCCTGGGTAAAAGTAGGATTTCTTACTTTTCCGTTTCCCTCTTTCTTAATTCCCGGCAGGGCTCAGGAAGACGCACCGCGAGCGGCCCTTTGGGTTTCACGGCATGGTTGCCTTTTTAGAGAAGTTTAAAGAAGGCCGCGAGTCCCCTTTGACAGGGCCTTCCTGGGTAGACGGCGACTGGCGCACTGGGCGCGAGCTTTGCCGGCAGCTTTGCAAGAAGTGCCGGGGCTGGCTGGAAAGGGAAGACCAGAAGGTTCTGCGTGAAGCCTATCGGCCGTATGGCCAGAATCAGAAGGCGCAGCCCCGCAAGCGGACGGAGACTAGGTAAAACGGGTATAGTTCCAGCAGTTTGTGTTCAAGCTAGGTTTAGGAAGAAGGAGAAACCGAAGGTTTAGAGCCAGAGAGAGGACTTGCTGTGGGTGTCTCTAGATCCGAGGCTGTAGGAAGAGTCTAGCGTTACCTAGCTTTAGTTTGATAATAGGAGCTACGGGGCTTAAAGTCCTTTCCGTCCGTCTGCACAAGCCGAGCGCGCGTGCCTTTCTGAAACCCTTCTTTTTGAAGGTTTCCGCTGCACACTGTACCATGATTTCGGATCAAGCTTCGAACTCGCATTGTGCAGCTTCAAAACATAAGCGCTAGGGCTGGGCCAGGTTGGTCGGAGGTAACTCAACCGCGCGGATTGAAGGACCTTGGAAGAGCTTCCGGCCTCCTCCCTGACCTTGCTGCTCCATGGCTGGCAGCCAATGTTTGGGGAGTCTGGCTCTTAGGACAGGCGGTCATCCGCCGCGATGCCGAATGACTACTGTGTAGGCATGTCGCGCCTCCAACACAAGCGCAAGCGTGCTAGTTGAATACCCTGGTTCCTGAAGCAGAGCCAGGGAAAGGAAAAGGAGAAACACACGCACAGGGGTGCTGGTTGGGAACGCTGGTTTCTGCACGGGACCCCTCCCCCTCCCACGTTCAACCCGTTGCCCCGGTGTTGATGCTTCTTTAGTCGCCGACTGCCACCTCATCTGTGTTGGGAGGGTGCTGCTGCTCAAGTCGGTGTGCCGGCATAGGTCGTCTGCAATTCGCTATCGTGCGGCAGGACATCGACCGGACCTTCTGTCGAGGGTCCCGGGAGATGGAAGGCAGCCGCGTTTTCAGCACCGACTTCGGGCAGAGACAGCCGAATCCCGTGCAGATGGTGTCTGTGGCAGGTGGTATCTCGGCGTCCATGCAAGTCTTCTATAGTGCGTCACGCTGGCGTCGGTCGTAGGCTGGTTCACCATCGTGTCGAGGTATGTCTTCCAACTTTGGCATGGTAGCTGGCGGGAGGGGAGGAGGGGGAAATCCTGTGGCACGCACCCTTCCAAGACTGGCCGTCACTACTGCAACACGTTCTTGGCCATATGTACTTTGGCGAGTCCACAGTCCTGATCTCCCCAACCGCTTCTTGGCTTCTGGGGTCTTGGCTTCTGGGGGCTGTGGACACGTTGGTGTCCGCTTGCTCGTGGCTCCAATTGCTGCTCACGCCGTGGAAGTTTCAGGCTCGCCGGGGACGGGGTCGTCGATTTCGCATGCGCCCTGTTGTTCAAGTTCAAGGAGGGCCCAATCCGAGATCGGACCCCTCGCAGCGAAGCGTTAGGGAATGCTGGTGGAGCTCAGGTAGCGGTAGCAGTCGGCCAAAGTGTTTCTCCGAATGGGAACTTTCTTCTTTGTTTGGGGGTCATGGCGGAAGCGGGGGGGGGGGAGTGAGGGCTAAAAGATCGAGCTCAGATACGCTGACTGCTGGAGGCCCGGCGCCAGTCACGCGCTTGCTTGTTAGTCGCCATGTTTTACGGTTTGGGGCTTCAAAGTTTAGGCTTTTAGGGCTTAGGGTTTAGGGTTTAGGGTTTTAAAGTTTAGGTTTGAACGCTTAGGGGGTGAGAGTTTGGGCTGATGGGATCAGTCACATGCAGGACATTGCCTCTATCGCTCCGTGGCGGATCAGCTGCCACTGGGATGTAAAAGCAAGGGTTTCTGTGTAGCTTGATCCCGAAATCCTCAACCCTAAGCTCTAAGCCTTAACCCTAAGCCCTAAACGCTAAACCCTAAACCCTCAACCCTGAGCCCTAAACCCGTCGAGCTTTGAATCTGGTTCGAAGGCTTTTGCCGTTAACCACACAAGAACACTGCTACTTCAGCAGCACCCCTAAGTCCCAAGCCCAAAGTCCGTGCCCGAAGCCCTAGCCTCTTCCAGGGTTCAGGGCTTAGGACTTGGGGCAGCTTGATAATCGTATCTCCGTAATTTTTCAGCTTGATAGTATCTCCGTCATTTTTATGTCACAAAAACCCAGTAACAGTTTCATTCCTGAGGCTTCTTTCTCCCTGAGCCCAGGAATCGTTTCCGGCCCGAGCTGCTGGATTTCAAGGGGCCCCCTGACCAGATGTACAAGGAGGCCTAACGGAGGGAGGGTTTCCGGTTCAGGGGTTTAGGGGTTTGGGGTTTCGGGTGCAGGGTTGTCTTGGGTTGTTTGGGGTTTTGGGGCATAGGGAGTTTGGGCTCTCCTCTTTGGGTTCCCTAACCCATACAAACCCAAGCATCAAACCATACCACACCCTCGGTAAGTGGGTTCACCCCTCCAAGTGTCCGGAAGTATGGGGTTTTGGGTGGATGCTGGGTTCCAAACTGCAAGGCTACAAAGCTTTAGCAATTAGTGTTTTAGCCATTAGTTTTTGTCTGCGTTGTGATAAATTCCAAAGGGTTGCTCAGGCCCTATACCCTGTACTAAGGTTTGTAAGGCATAAGGACCCGATGTCGGCGAGGCCCAACCACGGCAATCTCCAAAGCCTCGTGCTGCCCAAATGGTACATCCCGGAACCCACGGCTTCAGGTTTTTGACCCTAAACCCCCTAAAACCTGTAACGCCCGTACAGAATCCCTTTATGGAATTTCCCCGGATCCGCAGGCTCTGCGAAAACCTAGAGCCCAATCCCGTAACAGCAGACTCATGATTGGAGTATATAGGGATTTGGGGTTATCATAGGAGAATTATGGAGGGACTGGGGGATATAGGTCTCAAACTATTTCTGCATTCTTTGGAAGTTACACCTTCAGCCCGATCTATAAGCATTGTAAGCCATACACCGAGATGTGGAAAGTCAGAGAAACGATCAACCCAGATGCCACCTCGACTAAAACTCTAGACCCTGCTTGAACCCGGACCCTGAACCCTCAACCTTACAGCCTTGAAAACAATACTAAACCGTAAGCCCTAAGCCCTGAACTGAAAGACTTTAATTACACTGGGCCCCAATTCAACTAAACCCTAAACCCTAAACCCTAAACCCTAAACCCTAAACCCTAAACCCAAAACCCTAAACCCTAAACCCTAAACTTTCTCTTCGCTGGGAGGTCAGGAAACTTTGCGCCACATCCCTTCGAGGCCACGTGGAGGGCTATGCGCCCTTTGCGGAGCTGCAGGCCTCTTCCTTTTAGGGCTTAGGGTTTAGGGTTTAGGGTTTAGGGTTTAGGGTTTAGGGTTTTAGGGCTTAGGGTCTAGGGTGTGGAAGTCTGTTAAAGATGGCATACAGGGTTCTAGAAAAGGTTTGTCAGTATTCTGGTATGAGGAATTTAGAGGTTCAAAGCTTTAGGGTTTCATCTGTTAAGGGCCTTAAGAAGCTAAGAAGCTGGTTCTTGTAAACGTTTTTCTGGGGTTCTTAGAAGTGTTGCACCGGGTGTTATAAAGCGCTGGTGGTTTGTGGCTTCAGGTAAGTGAAGGTGCAGCCCCTTTACCTCCAAGGAAGGAGGCAAAGGCTGTGCTTTGGATCACCCAAAACCCCAAACCCTAAACTCTAAGCCCCAAGCC